CAGACAGACACGACCAGGCACAGAGGCGGTCACCTGCAGAAGGGACGGGCAGACAGGTGGAAAGAACACTCTGGAAGAAAAGAGAGAGGAGAAAGGAGCCAGTGATGGAGGGAAGAGGAGAGGGCAGGACAACGGAGCATCTGGGGAAGACAGGAGGGAGGGAGACAGGAGGCAGGGAGAGGCAACAGTGCAGCCCGTGGGGGTGTCAGTGAGCCTCAGCCGTCCAACCACCAAGCCCCTCACTACTCTGAGCCCAAGCTGCTCCCCTCCCTCCCCGCCTGCCTTCCAGACCTCTCCAGGGAGAGCTGGCTGATAAGACTCGGGCTTTTACCTGAGGCCCGGAACATTAACTTTGACACTGAAAAGGGGATATTTTATTACCCAGGAATATTTCTGCATCTCTTCAGGGATCTTCTGGCTCAGCCCCCACCCCCAGCAGCGAGCCTCTTCAGACAATTAAAACTGTCTCCGGATAACCCGACAGATGCAGCCCCGCAGAGACCCCAAAGAGGGGACTTCACATGCGGGCAAGCGTCTGCTCTACCCTGTGTGGCTGGCCCGAGCGCCTCGCCCTGCACTCTGTGCGTGTGCTGTGGGTGCTCCAGCCGGGGCCGGCGGGGTGACCCCTGAGGCCCTTCCTGCAGCCCGTCTCCTCTGGCTGGGGACCCTCAGGAGCCCCAGAGAGCAGTCAGTCCACCTCTGCCAGGCTACAGATGGGACAGCGAGCCTCAGCGGAGGGGTGTGACAGCCCAGGTCACACGGGGGGCTCGTGACTGATCTGGGGCTGAATCCCCAGGTTCCGTACTTTTCCACGTGTTAGCTCCCGTCCACAGAGCCAAGTCCCCGTCATGCTTAGTGTGTGCCTGGCTTGGATGTCCCTTCTCTGAGACCCAGCTCTAACTTCCAGGTGGGGTGACCAGCTGTCCTGGTTTTCCTGTAACTGTCCTGATTTTAGCACTGCGAGTTGAAAGTTGCACACTGCAAGTTGGGATGGTTGATCACCCTATTTCCAAATCAAAACAATCGCTCCTCTTTGTGTGCACCCAGAAACATCCGATGTTAACGGCTAACGTTAACTAACCCCCCTTCCCCCACAGGTTAAGCACTGTCATCCAGAGCACTTAACACAGATTAAGTCATGTAGTTCTCATAATAACCCTACGAGATAGGTACTGCTAGCCCCATTTTACAGATGATAAAAGTGAGGCAGAGAGAAGGAAAATAACATGCCTACCTGAGAAGCGGAGAGCCAGGATTTGAACCTCAATAATCTGTCCCCAGAGGGATAGCTCTTGGCCACCAGGGTATCCATCCAGTCCTTTCTTAGGGGCTTCTGCTATGGTTGGTGTACAAGGCTATCTTCTTGCTCTACCAAAATCTCCTGTCTCCTTCACCCCAGCGCCTGGCACAGTGCTGGGCATGTGATACGCACTGAGCAAAATTTTGTTGACTGAATCCATGCCTGGCCTGCCCGCGCCTTGGCTGGCATGAATTCCTTCCCCTGGTCCAGTACCCGGGCCTGTGGTCTGCAGCCAGTGGCCTCTCCCGGCCACTGTCCTTGCTCCCGTTTGGCGCCTTCTTGGCTCTTTGGCCCTGTATTCCAGAGTCCTGAAAGAAATCGCTTTCCTGTGAGCCAAGGAAGGTCAGAAGAAATCTGTGCACGTGTTCTGAGAGGTTCCAGACTCAGTCTCTGGCCTGAGGCCACTCATCCCCACCCTTGGCTTGGTCCCGAGTTGGGAGTGCCCCAGACCCCAGCGGCTGGACCCTGCTGGTGACCTCAGGCTTCCGTGGCCCCTGTGCCAGCCACCCGGCTCCCGTGCAGATGTGATCCCCACAGAGGGGTATGGGTGGCACTGCTCTTGTGGTTTAGTCTGTTTCCAGAAACCCTTAGTGAAATTACAGCTTTAATTAAATACAGCTGGCTGTACGTTATACTCTGTATAATTACCGTGTTATTATTATTATCACTTAGAGGAAAGTTCAAACAAAGTTTATTGTAAATAGTCTTCGACAGAAACAACTGGAAGAGCTGAGGGCTATTGGCTCAGCTGAGCATCAGAGAGAAGTGGACCCCCCGCCGCTTGGTGGTAAAGGACGGGTGGGGGCAGGGCTGGGGAAGGCAGGTGCACATGGGGACATCTGGGAAGAGAGAGCATGGGATGGGGCCAGGCTCAGCTGCCACATGACTTTGGGCAAGTCCCTGTCCCATCTCTGGGCCTCAGTTCCCATCCCTGGGATAGAGAGGTTTCATTTCTCCTGCAAACATTGATTGGTAGCTACTATGTGCCAGGCACCGTTCTAGGCCATTTAGCTCAGTGGCCAAGCAGACAAAAGTCCTGACCTCCTGGAAGCTTACATTCTAACGTGAGGAAGAAAAGCAATCAATAGATGCATAAATAAATGTGTAAGATAATGGCAGGTAGCAATGAGTAACCTGCGGAAAAATAAATCAGTATACAGAAAGAGAAAGGGATATTGAAAGGACTGGGGGAGTACTATTTCAGGAAAGGACTCCCGAAGAGGAGCCATTTGAGCAGGGACTTGAATAAGGTGAAGGAGTAAGCTGTGAGAAAATGATGGTGGTGGTGGTGGTGGTGGGGAAATCTCAAGGCAGAGGGAAGAACATGTGCAAAGGCCCTGGGGCAGGATCCTTTTTAGCATGTGCAGGGAAAGGCTAGGAGGCCAGAGTGTTTAAAGCAGACAAAGGGAAGAAAAAAAGTGGTAGGAGATGAATGAGGGTGGAGGGAGAGTGGGGCACAGAGCATGTAAGGCTGGGTGGGCCTGAGAGAGGACTTTGGGTTTTATTCGAAGTGTGATGGGAGGCCATTGTGGGGTTAAGAGAAAGGGAGTGACATCATCTGATTAAGAATAGATTTCAATTAGGATCACCAAAGTTCCTTCCAACTCTGACTCACCTTGACTCTAATGTCCATTGCTGTAGAGCAAACCACCACAAAACTTAGTTGTTTAAAATAAAAATGTATTATTTCTCATAGTTCTATAGGTTGACTGGGCTCAGCTGGGCGGTTCTTGCTTGGGGTCCCTTGTGTGGTTCAATCGGATGGCAGCTGGGACTGGTGTTGTCTGAAAGCTGTTGGGAGGGGTGCCCAGGCTGTGTTCTCCACTCACATATCCAGCATCTCAGCAGGGTGGATGAAACAATGGGGTGCTTGGCCGAGCACCTCCTTCTTGTGGCCTCTCCACGTGGCTAACCTGGGCTTCCTCACAGCATGGGGGGGCTAAGGCTGGGGCTTCCTACGTGGCACCTGACAGTCGAGAGGCCCAGGCAGAAGCTGCAAAGCTTTTTCTAGCCTAGCCTTGGGCACCACTTTTTGCCACATTCTGTTGGCCATCCCAGATTAAAATTTGAGGGGTCAGTCCTAAATTTGAGGCGGAATGATTAATCTTGACCCCATCTTTGGAGACAAGCTGCTATATGCGCCCACTGGAAAAGCCATGGAAATAATAGCTACTGTTCATCACGTGCTTTCTATGGGCCAGGCACTGTTCTGGTTCCATATATATATATATTTTTTTTTTACTTTTTACTGTTTTTTAAGAGACAGGGTCTCCCTCTGTCATCCAGGCTGGAGTGCAGTGGCCTCGTCATAGTTCCCTGTAACCTCGAATTCCTGGCCTCAGGGGATCCTCCCACCTCAGTCTCCCAAAGTATTGGCAGTACGGGAACGAGCCACTGTGCCTGGCCTGGCTTCCATATTTTAACTCATTTGGTCTTCATACCCACCCTATGAGGTGGGTACTGTTGTTAACCCCATTTTACAGATGGGGCACCTGCAGCACAGAGAGGTTAAGCATCTTGCCCAAGGTCACATAGCTAGTGAGTAGGAGCTGGGACTGAATCTAGGCTGTCTGGCTTCAGAGTTTTTGCTCCCCCAGACTCAAGCCTCCTTGGCAGCTCAAAGAGACACGCTGCAAAACAGCTGGAGACACAGGGACCCTTCTCTGATCTCCCCAGCTTGCCTTACTTATCAGGGCGGGCGAGTGCCTTTGGTTGAACCGGCTTGCACAAACGTGCAGCACTGTCCAGGCGGGGAAGGAGACGGCTCTCTGAGCTTGTTGCCCAAGCACGTCCACAGCCCTTGAAATCGGCACGTGCGGCCGCAGCCCACGACACTTGTGAACTGAAAGGAATGTTCAAAATCAAGCCCAAATATTACGCTCTAGACTTGAGAGCGGAGGCTGAGAGGGTCAGGCACTTGCTCGGGGTTCCACATTACCTCTGCGGCTCGTGGGTGGGATTCATAGCCCTGCTTTGCCCGTGACCGGAGGTGGAGTCCTCGCTGAGGTCTGCACCGATGGAAACTCCTCGCACGTACGGGGCAGGTGTGGCGTGGCGGCCCCGCCTCTCTCTGATCCAAAGTCGGGCCGTGTAGCGAGTGAGGCTCTGTGCGTGACCGGTGTGCAGAGTGGGGGGCGGGGGGCAAGCCTGAGCCTGGGGTCCAGGAAGAAGGGCTGGGCTCTGTGGCAGAGTGGGCAGCACCCTGAACCAGGCATCGGGCGACCTTAGCTTGTGACCTTGAGTACCCCTTGGCGACAGCATCAGCCACAGCGGCATGGTGCCAGGGATTGTTACTGCAGGCACAGGGCTTCTAAAGACGGCTCATGGGAGCAGGGAATGGGAAGGGTTGGGTCTGGCATTTCAGAATCCATGGGCTTCTGGAAGGGAGGGGCCCCATGGTAGCTAAGTCCCGAGTGGCCATAAGGTCAATGTTGAACCCCACTGTCGTCCGCTGGGGGGTTGAGGGGGTTGGGTGAGCTGGGATGCCCCTGCCACATTTTCCCCTGGGGTCTCAAACCTGCAGCTGTCCTGGTTTGGGGACAGGTTGTTCCTGGCAGCCAGGCCTCTGCCGCTGCGGGCCTGCTGTTTCTCCCCCCGGCCCATCACCTGGCTCGGAGCCTGGAGCAGGTTGCTAACTTCTGCTGACACTGGCAGGGCAGCCGCTCCCCGCCTGATACCTCATGGCAGCCACACTTGCACAAATCTTTAATTGTTTAGTTTAAAGAATTGTGTTTTGACCGCGAGGGGATTTTGGCTGGAGCTCAAGAAGTGATAATGATATTTCGCTGCCAAGACGTCTCCTTGGCTCTCTGCGTGTTAATGTGCACTTTCAAGACGCTCCAATTAACTGCATCAGCTCTCGGGGAGAGAAAGGAGCGGGAGCAGCAGAGAGAAGGGAAGGAGTGCGGTGGTGATCTGCAGAAGGCCATAGGAGGGAAAGAGACAGCCCCCCCACAACTTTATTAGCAAACAAATTGGAGGGGGTAGCGGGTGACAAAGTTCTTGAAGAGGAGCTCCAAGTGAAGTGGAGTCTCATGCCTGGAGAGGGGGACATTGATGAGAGGGGGCAGGCCCCAAGTCAGGCGACCCACCCCCCACACCCAGAGGGCCCCTCCTTCAGACCCACCTGCTTCTTCTGTGCCCGCTGTGGTCGCTCCACTGTCCCTGTCCTCACGCGGGCCTCTGCCCACATGCCTTCAACTTTCCCGGTACTCAGAGGGAGAGACAGACCTGGGCTCCGACTCTAACCCGACCCCCCCACCGCCCTCAGCCCATCTCCACTCGCCCCCGCCCTGTCCCCTCCAGCCCCACTAGTCTTTGGCTGTTCCTGGAACACCAGGGCTGTTGCATTTGCTGTCCCCTCTACTCAGAATGCGCTTCGCCAAGATATCTCCTGGGCTGGCTTCCTTGCTGCCTCGGGGCTTAGACTGTACATTTCGTGTTGCCCCGTGTGCCCTGTCACTGCCGAACCCGCCCACCACCCCGTGTGCCATTGAGCCTTTTTATTATTTGCCTCCACCACTGGCACCTAACCTCCTGGGGGGCAAGTTTTGCGTTCTGCTCGCCGCTTTGTGTGACGGCCAGCAAGCAGGGCAGAGCCTGGAGGTCCTCAGCTAATACTCACTGCTTGAAAACTGAATGAATGAACTCGGTGCTCAGCATCCTGCCTCATCCCAACATTTCCCCGGCTTTGAATCCTGACTCAACTCCTCGTCCATCCTCACTCTGCCTGCGACTCCGCTACCCCGCCCCCAGGACTCTCTCTTTACCCTCACACCTCACTCTCTCACCCCTCATTCACCTGCAGCCCTCGCCCGCCCTCACCTCCTCTGTTATCCAGCTCCCACCAATGAAATCTTGGCCCCTCCCCACTTCAGTCGCCTCCTGCTTAATTAAATGCCCTCTGTCCTCCCTGGAAGCCTGGAGCTCCCCTGGGTTTTGCTGTCCACTTCCACCCTGGGAAGCAGGCCAGGGCCGGAGGGAGGAGGAGCCCCGCTGAGGATCCTGACAGATCTTCAGGTGAAACCCCAGTAGGAAGGATTTCCTGGATCCCGTCCTCCACGTCCTCCACGCCTGCTCACCCGCATCCTCAGTTGCTGGAAGAGCTTCGAGGACTCTGGGCAGGCGCTGGCTCAGACCAGGAGTGGCTGTGGGGGGCTCCTCCCTGGCTACTTCAATGCACCACCCCCACCCCAGAAAACCCAGGAGGACGCCCTCATCTTCCCCTGATCTCAGTCTCCTCCCAGCTCCAGCGTGAAAATGACTTTCCCACATGCCGAAGCTCCCCGTCCCCTTGCACACACGTATCACACTCTGCACACGCTCAGAAACATCTAGAATCTCAAACACACTCCAGAGCTGGGGCGCATGTGAAAGCAAAGGCTTCCTCTGAAGCCACACCCCTCGCAGAGAGACCCCCCAAAGTGGAGGAAAGAGGGCAGCTGGCGGAGGTGGGGCCCAGAGGCTGCCTGGTCCAGAGGGAATGGGTGAGGCCTGAGGCCCCAGCGGGACTGATCAGAACCCCCTCCCCTCTTCCTCCCTTCTCTTGCTCCTGCATCCTCCCTCCCCTGCCCGCCCTCCTCCCCCTCCCTCTGCCTTCCCCCCTCTTCTCATACCCTAAGGCCTCCGAGGGAGGGTCAGCTCTGCTGGCTCAAGTTACAAGAACTTGAAGACAGGAAGATTTAGCGAGGGAGCCCTGGCGGCACAGAGTGCTGTTTGTGGCCTTTGAAACCAGAGGCTGTGAGGCGGGGGCGGGGAGCAGGCGGGAGGCCACAGGACACTCGGGTGAATTATCGCTCCTTTCGGGCTCCGACTTCCAAGGCTCTGGCCGCCCTCCCCCAGCCCCGGCTCCTGTTTCTCCAGGTGCTGGGGTGTTTTCCTACGTGTTAATTTGCCCCAGTTGACGCGCCCGTTCTTGGCCCCTGGCCCCCCAAGGGGAGACCAGCCCGCCCTGGGATGGGTCAGGAGAGGCCTTGGGGGTGGAGAGACCCTAGAGGTGCGGCCCAAGTCCTGAGGGTCTTGCCCTCGGGCTGGGAGGGGCAAGAGGCGGGTGGGAAGTGTGCGTTTGGAGGGGTGGGTGTCAGAACACTGACTGCACATCCTCCTGTCCAGACTGGCACCCCCACCCCCAGCCCCGGCCAGTTCCCCATGGGCTTGTGCACTCACAGCGACCCCTGCCGGCCCCTCAGCTCCCACCGCCACCTCCTCCAGGAAGCTCACTTGGGCTGCCTGGCCTGGAAAAGAGCTGCGTGAGATGCTTTTGGCTTCTCAGGCGTCCTGTCCCCGGGTCCTCACTAACACACCATGAGGTCTGTTTGGCTCCTAGGAAGATGATTTTTAAAGATGGCATTTTAGAGATGGGGAAACGGAGGCTCTGAGAGGTTAAGCAACTTGCCCAAGCCCACACAGCTCCTGAGAAGCAAGGTTTTCTGAGCTGAAAGATGGTGGCCTCTCCCCAGTGCCGGCCCGGAACACAGTGAGAGTTGGGGTGGGGTGGAAGGCCCACACGGGCAGGGGAGGGGCCTGGCATCCGGAAGGCACTCAGGGATGCCAGGGACCAGCCTGACCTTGCCCATTGACCTGTGCTCAGTTTTCAGTATTCCTCTGCCAGGCGGGGCTGGGGCCAGGGTCTGAGTTTGGGTCAGAGTCTGTTGCCAGCCCTAGCCCACCCTTAGGGTGGCCCATGTGGGGGGCCCCACACCTCCCCACCCCCTCCCCTCCTCCTGTCCCAGCCCTACAGGCCTGGGGCCCAGGGAGAGGGGTGAATTCCAACTGGGCCTGAGAGCTGGAGCTGGGATCGGAGAGGGGCCTGCTCCACTGCAAAAAGCAAAAAGCCAGCAGTACAAAGGGTATCCTGGGGACAGGGCCTTTCCCTCTCCCCTTCCCAGGCTGGGCTGGGCAGGGGTGAGGTAGGAGGACAGGGCCAGACTCTGGGGGTGAGGAGAGGGGTGCCACTTGTAACAGTTCTCCCTCCCAGGAGGGGCTCTCCCTGGATCCCTCAGAAGAGTGCCTGCCCCACCCAGGGCTTCTTGACTGGCACTCGCCACACCTCCCTGCTCCCCTCCTCCCTGGCTTTGGGACTCCTCTCTCCTCACTTTCTCTCCCAAAGCCCGACAGAACTGCCTCCCTGGGCAAGCCCCCATTTGTCTGTGGGGGCACTGATGTCCCCCCTTCCCATAGTGACCCACTCCTCCTCTTCCTGCCTCTCCTCCCATCCCTCAGCCCTAGGGTGCCCTGCCAGGTGGGCTGCGAGAGGGATGCAGGGAGTGGCTACCTTCCTTCTCTGCTCTCAGGGAAAATGTCAAACCTTGCAAGCTTAGCCATGTAATAGGCAAGGAAAGGAAGCAGAGGCATTCAGGATTGGGGTGGTCACACCTCCCCATCAATCCCTCCTGCATCTTCTCCTTTCACCACCCCCCTGCTGGGAGCCGGAGCTCTGTCCCAGCCCAAGACCAAATCCACATCCACCCTGGCACATCACTTTGGCTTTCTGTCACCTGACTTCCTGCTCCTGGCAGAACCCTCAGGCTGAAGAGCAAGAAGGGTGTCAGGGCGGGTGGGCATGCTGCAGGGAGGTGGGGTGCAGAGCCTTCTTGCAGCCCGCCTGGTAGCCCGGTGGAGGTCAAGTGGATCCCACTGCCTTGGATTTGAACCCACTTACTAGTGTGCTCTTGGGCAAATTATTTAGTCTCTCTGGGCCATGGTTTCTTGCTTGGACTAGAACCTCGCCTTTTGCTCACCTGTCTTCTGGAGTTGGTTGTGAGGACAAGCTGTGCCCAGCACGGAGTAGGTGCTTTAAGAACGGTGCTGGATCCCAGGCTTGTTGGTGAGTGAGTGCCTGTATTTGCACCGGGAGAGCAGAAGGGACAGAGGAGGCAGAGATAGCTGGGTGGGAGGTCTCCTAGAGCAAGCTCAAAGAAATCCCAGCGCTGGGTCCTCCATAAAACTCAGGATGTGTGCAGGGATGGCTTAGATGCTAAGCAAACGGTCAACAGCATCTTTACTGAGAGGTTTTCTTGGCAGTGAGTTGGGCATGATGGGGGCTAGAGAAGGATTCATTATTGATTTATTTGAACACCTTCTATGGGCCATGGCCCTTGCTGGACCACTGTGCCGAGCAGATGCCATATTTCCTGCCCTCGGGGTGCTAACGTTTTAGTGGAGCGACACAGACAAAAAGAAAGTCAAAGGACACATGAAGCCACAGCAAAATCATGGTGAGAAACTCTGAGCAAAAGGGAGAAAATTGGCAAAGGGCTGGGCTGGGTGGCCACCCAGGAGGAGGAGTGCAGGCTGAACCCCACAGGATGAGAAAGGGGTGGGGACAGCGTGATAGGCAGGAGGGGCAGGAAAGATCTCGGCTTGTTTGCAGAACTGAAAAAAGAAAAAGCAAACCAAAACACACACACACACACACACACACACACACACACCCCTGGCGAGGCAAAGACTGCAGGGAACGCAGGAGGATGGGAAAGACGGAGGAGAGGCCCTCTGCATACGCGGGATGCCGTCGGCCCTGGCGAGTTTTTGCAAGTGCAGCTGGGGGTCACGGGGAAGAGAAGAGTGACACAAAGGCTGTCTTTTCAGCTGCATGAAGAAGGGATGGGCCAGGATAAAGGTGAGAGCTGGGGACCAGCGGAGGCTGGTTGGGGGTCAGGCTGCCAGCCAGAGGGACTGCCCTAGGGTGGTGGCGGACAAAGTGGGGAGAGGAGGATGGATTCGACCAAGCGGGACTGGCTGACAGGGTGGAGACGAGCCAGGAGGACACCGAAGCTTCGGCAGAGTGTGTCATGACTGAGTGCTGTGGCTGCAAGTGTGGCAGCAGGAAGCAAAGCTCACTCCAGCAAGCTGCTGGGAAGACTTCCTGGGAGAGGCTCCCCGAGGGAAGAGAGTCGGGGGTGAGAGCTTGAGCTGTGTTCCTTCCTTTGCCCTTAAACACTTTGCTACACTTACCCTCTCTCCCTGCTTCCTAGACACCCCAGATCCTGCAGTACCAAACATTCCAGTCGTGGCAGAACTGCTAGGAGTTGACCTTAACATTCATTCTCATCCTTTTCCTTAGTAATAGAATCACCAATTCTTTTGTTGTGCATTTTTCCCACTCAGAATAAAGACTATGGTTCGCAATCTCCTCTGGGGCTTGGCAGGGCCATGATATGTCAATGGCAGCATGTAGGGCTCCCAGGAAACCTTACATGGAAGGAGAATCCTTCAAGGTTCTTTTTATACTGCTGACTAGAATGTAGGTGTGATGGCTGGAGCTTGAGCAGTCCTCTTGGATCATGAGGTAGGTAGAAGCCACGTATGGAGGAAAAGCGAAAGAATGGAAGGCGCCTGAAATTCTGAGGACTTTGTGAATCTACTCACTCAACTCTCAGCTTCAGATATATTGGAATTTTTAGCAAAGCAGTGATTTCCTGGGAGCAGAGGGGACAGGGCAGCAGCATCCTCTTACTTGAGCTTTGAGAAAGATATGGCCTTGACAGTAAAGAGCAGGGCTGAGACCTCCTACCTTAGCTCCTCAGACACTGGCTCTCCGGAGGGCTTAGGAGGGGCTTGGGAGCCTGCCCTGGAGGCTGACGACCAAAGGGTCTGCTCAGCCAGGACTCTGAGAAGGCGCTCGATGTGCTGGCTGTCCTGCTCCTTGCTCACACCCAGCCCAGGCTGCTCCTCACCCTTCTCTACTCGGCCGTGTGCCCAGGGAGGCTGAGCCCTCTGGCCCACTGTTGGGTCTAGCTAGTGGGAATAGCCAGCTGGGGCGGGAGGGTGGGAGGAGAGACTCAGCCGGTCTCTGCCGCAGCCGCACCTCTGACCGTGGCTCCCGCAGGGCGGCCCCTGGTCCGGGGCTCAGCCATCCCTGGATGTGCACAGCACGTCACTGCCTCGCGCCCTCGGGGTGGCCATGGCCGCCTGCAGGGTTAGTCCAGAGGTGCTCCAACTCCCCTAGCTCCTCCCTTAACTCTAGAAGCATGCCGTTCGTTAAGTCTCTTCATTTGAACCAATTGGGGGCCAGTTTGGTTTCCCGTTGGGACCCTGTTGGGACAATAGCTTCTGCCCAGGCCACAAAGAAAGCCAGGGGCAGGGGCAGGCCAAGGGCAGGAGAGAGAAAGCCAGAGGGGAAGGAAGAGACAGGACAAGACAGGGGCAGAAAGGCAGAAACAGGGAGAGGTTAAAGGGGTAAAGACAGCGGCAGACGGACACACACAAAGGGGTAGAGACAGGCATGGAGGGAGGGACAGACAGACAGACATACAGAGGCAGGAGCCAGAAAGGCACCAAGAAAGGGATGACACTGAGAGGTAGAAATGACAAAATACGAGACAGACACCCAGGCAGACAGAAACTGGAAACTGGGGCAAACCCAGAGAGGGGGAACAGGGAATAAAAGAGCCAGAGGTTTAGCGACAGACGGATCCCTGGGGACGGTGACATAGAAAGAGGAAGAAACACCCGGCGTGCTGATCTAAGAGGTCTCAGCTGCAAATCAGAGCTCCCTCTGCCTCACCCTCGCCTGGACCTTTCCTGGCTCCACGCTGCACAGCGGCTGGACAGCGCGGTTCGGTCTCTCTGACCATCAGCTCCGGGTACAGCCTTCGTCAGTGGAGCCAAGTGTGTCAGCCGCGTCCCACTCCTGGGGACTGAGGAGCATGAGTGCAGGGATGCAACGCAGAGTGGGAAGCTGAGAGTGCCTGCCTGGAAGGACAGGGGGAGGTGGTGGCTCCCAGGAGCCAGAGGAGAGGGCTGCCCCACAGGACCGTGGCCTGCAGTGGGGGACAGCCAGGAGGCCGCTGGGGGGGCAGACACTCTCACTTCTCTCTCCCGTCCTCTGACCTTCTGCTGCTGCCTCTGTTGGCCAAACCCAAGAGCCCAGTGGGATGCCGGAGGACAGAGAGCTGAGGGATGCGGGGTAGGAGGGGCCAGCCTCGGGGCGCACAGGGAGAGGAGGCTGGAGAGCGGATGCTGAGAGGCAAGTGGAGAGCCCTTAGCATACGGGCCTGCTCTCCCTAGGGTGGCTCAGGGCAGTCTCTGCCTGCTGGGAGCCACAGGGCTGTGGGTGCTCTATGCCTCTCTCAGCTGCAGTTTCTTCATCTGTAAACTCAGGGTAGGAATCATGACAGCTTTCCAGGACCGTCATGAGGACGTGTCACCTGACACTGCATCTGGGAAGATGCCTGGCATGGGGCCTGCCCCACTGCTGTGCTTGGCAGGGTGGAAGCAGCTGTTTCTCCCTCTTGTGCAGAGCAGCCTGGGGTGGGGGACACTGTGACAGTGCACCACTGCGGGATGGTGCACCCCTGCGGGACAGTGCACCACTGTGGAATGGTGCACCCCTGTGGGGCAGTGCACACCTGGGGGACGGTGCACCCCTACACGACAGTGCACCACTGCGGGACAGTGCACCCCTGCGTGACAGTGCACCCATGCAGACAGTGCGCCACTGCACCACAGTGCACCACTGTGTGACAGTGCACCCCTGCTGGACAGTGCACCATTGAGTGACAGTGCACCCCTGCTGGACAGTGCACCACTGAGCGACAGTGCACCCCTGCATGACAGTGCACCACTGAGTGACAGTGCACCCCTGCGGGACAGTGCACCCCTGCACGACAGTGCACCCCTGTGCGACAGTGCACCACTGAGCGACAGTACACCCCTGCATGACAGTGCACCACTGCGCAACAGTGCACCCCTGCATGACAGTGCACCACTGCGCAACAGTGCACCGCTGCGGGACAGTGCACCCCTGCGGGACAGCGCACCACTCAGTGACAGTGCACCACTCACCACTCAGTGAACAGTGCAACCCCTGCGGAGAGCGCACCAGTCAGCGACAGCTGCACCCCTGCGGGAGAGCGCACCAGTCAGCCGACAGTGCCACCCTGTGGGACAC